GGAAATTCAAGACCAGCCCCAAGCAGAAAAGTTTCTGGGACCCTATCTCAGCCATTAGCTGGCTGTGGAAGTGCATGCCTGTCATCCCAGCTATGTGAGAGGACTGAGGTCCAGGCCTGCCTGGGCAAAAAAATATGAGACTTTATTGAGAAAAACAATAAAAGCAAAAAAGGCCTAGGGGCGTGGCTCAGGTGGTAGGGCTCCTACCCAGCAAGTGTGAGGCCCTGAGTTCAACCCCCAGTACCGCCAAAAAAAAAAGCATGAAAACACAAACTATGGAACAGTAAATGCAAATTTCTAGTAGTCTTTCCCTTTGATGCCTAGAAATAAACACCTTGCCTAGTTCTGTAGAGTATTTCCTCAGCTTCTTGGTTCTCTGTGCTTATGTCACATAATCTCATGTGAATTCTGTCCACATTAGAAGGGCCTGAGCATCCTGGTTCTCCTTGGGTTCCACAGCAGCCCATCTCTTGCAGGAAGAATCCAGAGCCAGGGTGTGCCCAGGTTTTCTTCTGAGGTCGCTTCCTCAGAAGCCCTTAGGGATGCATCTGCCCTCCCTTGGTTGTTGGAACTACAACAGTCACTCTGAGGTCCCTTGTGTCCTGTGGTCTGGGAGTCTCATTCCTCGGTACCCCCCCAATGCATGGAGTTCTTTTTTTGTGTGTGTGTGGTACTAGGGTTTGAACTAAGGGCCTCATGCTTGCTAGGCGGGTACTCTACCACTTGAGCCATTCTGCCAGCCCTTTTTTGTGTTGGGTATTTTTAGATAGGGTCTCACAAACTGTTTCCTGGCTTCAAACCTTGATCCTCCTGATGTTTGCCTCCTGCGTAGCTAGGATGACAGATATGAGCCACTGGCATGAGCTTGCTTGGGGTTCTCATAGCCACAGGAGGAAGAAGTTAGAAAGTCAGACACTTGGGATGGTGGGGTTGAGCAGTTAGTTTTCCCCGACTCTAGAGATGATGTCTTACCTTTTGGACTGACAATGGTGGTATCTGGGCCTGCTTTCTGAAAGTGGCCATTTAAAGGCCCGTTCACCCAGCCCCTAGCCGGCTTCCTCAGGCCTGCAGCCCACCTGCAGGAGGGAGACATTAGCAAGGTTCCAAACATTCTGCCCCTTGTTCTTCTGTAGAAGTCAAACCTGCAACCAGGAACCTGCTTCCCAAAGGTAACACTGCTGTCCCTTGAGGCGGCCCTGGAGGCGACTTTGCACGTAGCCCCTTCATAAAGACAATGCTCTTTTGTTCTGTGGTGATGCCCATTTTCTCCTAAAGTAGGCCTGCAGTTATACAGGGCTAGTTCTCAGTCTGTCTGTCCTGCTGAGGCCAGCCTGGGAGAGGCAGGCTGGGAAATGGACTCAGGAAAGGATTTGGGTCTTTTGAAAAGTCCCTGGGAGTTCCCAGGTGGGACTGTCCCCCAGAGCTCATCAACTGGGGCCCTGTTGACTCTGGGACATGAGTTGGCTCTTGAGGACTACAGAACCCACTCATCCCACCAATTTGGTGAATTTGAGCCCAGGATTTCATGATGTGTTCGGAAAGCAATGAAGTTAAGGTTGACTTTACTCATCGAAGTCATAGCAGGAGCTACTTCTTGTCTATGATGATTGCTAGTCATCATTTTGTGCTGCTCAGAAGCACATTGGTGGCAAGGATCTGCAGCCACCCCACCTCCCCACATAAATGTCAGCCAGGAGGAGACCTCGTTGGCTCTCCCTGGTCCCCTGCACTAGCCTTTGTGGGAGTAGTTTCATTGACTTCCAGCAGGTCATGACCCCTAGCCAGCCCCAAGAGGTAGAACAGCGTGGTTCCCATGATCCCACTTCTCTCTGGGGGTCCCCCACTTTATAGATAGCCTCCAGGGAAGGAATTTGCCTTCTCAGGAGTCTCTTGGGATTCCCCGTGATTACTCAGTGGCTCTTGAGAGGAATGTTGGTCACTTAGGAGTTCTGTGTGAGAAGTGGCCCAGGCATCTCCAGGGCAGAGTTGAGTTGGAGCAGGGGTTGATGGCCTCCAGATGTCCTCCTTGCCTCAGTTCCTTGAGACCTGGGACTCAAAAGTCCCTATCCACAGGGCTCTTAGGTCACCCTCTGGCCATTCCCAGGATCTCTTGGAGGCTCAGCCCACTCTGACACTTTGTTCTGTGGGGTACAGTCTCCTGACTTTGCACTTGAAGACACCTTTAAGATGATCTCATTCTGCTCCCAGTACCTTCTCCCACAAGGCATGTGATTTGGTGGGTGTGCATCCTCTGAAAAGTTCCTCATTTGCATCTTTCTAGTCATTTCTTCCAATTCTTAGGAAGTTCTTCCTTACACCCAGTCACAGTTGATCTTGCCACAGGCGAAACCCATTTCGTCTTGTTCCTCCCAAACCAGGCATCCTTTACCATGTGCAGTTTGCCCTTCTTTAGGGATCCAGGCTGTGTATCCACTTCTCACAGACATTATCTGTCTTCTTTCTACCCTGTGGTCCCCAAAGGACTTTGAGTTCCCTTCCCTTTGGAATAGGGGTAGACTGTGTACAAGGACACAGCTGAACCTAAAACCACTTAAGGGAATTTGAGAACACGGGGACCCCATTGGCATTGATGCGTAATGCCCTCTCCCACCCCTGATGGATGGTGGCATCTCCAGGGCATTCCAGGCCTTGGCAGCTCATTACCAGTCCAACCCATTTTCTTTCCTCTCATTGCCAAGGCCACCTCTGGCCTTGCTTGCCCACACATGGTGCACATGTGAGCTTGGCTGTCCCAGCGTTGCCCAGGCTTTCTGGGCATCTCATGCTGGGTCCATTCTTAAGTCTTGCCTTTGGTGCATTAGAGGGTCCCTTGGTTTTCTCTAAAGGACTCCAGGCTTTGTGCCAGGAACCTGGTAAGATTCTGCAGGGAACCTGAGAGGCCCCATGTTTCTCAATCAGCACCTTCTCCCTAGATTGCTAGACTTGAATTCCCACATCTCCTAGATCTGGGCACATCCAGGAGCCGTGAGATTTTCTGGCATGGATTTTCTTCCCAACATTCATGTTGGGAACTTAGGTCCTTCTCCAGGGGCGCCTACCAGCCACTAAGCCCTTTATTCAGGCTCAGTTGGGCTGACCATGGACTGCCAAAGACCGAGATGAGGAAGAAAAAGGAGGGATGTAACTTCCGAGCCCCAGGAATGCCCTACTAACCACGTATTGCTGTAGGATGGGAGGGGCTTGGTCAGCACAGGTGTGTCCAGGTGCCTCTGCTGTGGGGATGGGCTGTCATGATTTTCTCTGTCCTGTTGCCAGGCGGAAACTGCAGCCAATCGCATCTGCAAGGTGTTGGCGGTGAACCAGGAGAACGAACAGCTCATGGAAGACTATGAGAAGCTGGCCAGTGATGTGGGTACCCCTGGGTTCCCTTGCCTGGCTCCAGAAAGGCCCTGAATCCCACCTGAAGAGAGAGCCTCCCAGGGCCAGTACCTCCAAGCCCATCCTGGGGACAGAGTTGCAGCTGGGTGTAGTTCACAGTTCCACCCCAGTTGATGCACATCTCACTCAGAAAGTAGGGGGATGGGCTCAGAAAGTAGGGGATGGGAGTAGAGGCCAGTCTCTGGGCTATAGTGAGCCTGAGAACCCCTTCACTTCTCTGGCTCTTGGCTTTTCACTTAACAAGTGAGAGTTGAACCTGGCTATGTCTGGTGCTGAGAAGGGTATGCACCAGGGAGAAATCGGGGCTAGCTCAGGTTGGCATAGCCTCCAGGCCTACCAGGAAAGAGGACTGGACAGAGCTGCATTTGCTGCCTTGCCATTGGCTGTATTTGAGCTAAGGCTCCACTTGATTTTTCCCTAAAATAATTCAGCCTTTTATACTGTTGGTTGTGCATCCACTTCCAGCATAGTGGGAGCTGGGTTCCCAGGCTTAACTCTCTGCTCCATGTGTCTACCTGGTCACTATGTCTAGCAGGGCCTGGATCTCTGCCCCCCACCCCGCCCCATAACATGGGAATGATTGCAACACATAACCCCATGGGATTGTGTGATTCAGAAGAGTTAATTCGTGGGATGTGCCCGGCACCTTGTAGGTGTTCCCTATAACTGCAATCATCATTCCACTCCTCCTCCATCTCCACCAGCATTACCTTGGCCCCAAGAAAACACCTAGGCAGGTTGGGCTCCAAGCAGTTGTCTGGCTCAGAAGCCAGCCTCTTCATTTCTGGGCCATTTACCCACATTCTGAAGTCCTAGAAGGTCCAATGGCAGGGACCTCAGGGAACAGTCATTATGGTACCATGAGCAGCCTCACGGTATAGAAGAGGAAACTGAGGCCCAGCTGGTTAGTCAGACCTAGGCGGAACTCAGGGCTCCTGTCTATTAGTGGAGCAGCCTGGGGCTCTGTGGTTCTACCCCTGGTGGGTCAGGGAGGCTGACAGCTACTGGACCTGAGCGGTAGCCAGGTGTCACACAACCTGCAGCTGTCAGAGGGAGCACCGTGGAGCTTGGCTGCATGGCCTGGGGATGTCCTAGGATGGTAGTTGGGAAGGAGTGTGCCATTAGAAGAGACCACTTGCCACCCCCTGTGAAAGAAGGACTGTGGGGATATGGGCACTCCCTCCCCTGGGCATCCTCACCCCTCTGCCTCTGCCCTCTCCTCTGTAGCTGTTGGAGTGGATCCGCCGCACCATCCCCTGGCTAGAGAACCGGGTGCCTGAGAACACCATGCATGCCATGCAGCAGAAGCTGGAGGACTTCCGTGACTACCGGCGCCTGCACAAGCCACCCAAGGTACAGGAGAAATGCCAGCTGGAGATCAACTTCAACACGCTGCAGACCAAGCTGCGCCTCAGCAACCGCCGCCTTCATGCCCTCCGAGGGCAGGATGGTCTCGGTGAGTGCAAGGATGGGCTGGGACCCCTGTCCTGACCAAACCCAGCTCTGTGAGAGGGGCGAGGAGCAGGAAGAGTGTTCTGTCTGCACACACTGTCCCAGATGTCATCTCTCCCTTCTAGATTACCACCCAGGCTTGAGCCCAAACCTAGTGGGCAGCCCCTTCCTCTGCTGACCATTCTGGGTCAGGTTTGCCCTTCCAGACTCTGAGCATCGATCAGCCCTCCCAGTGTCACCAGCCCACCCACATAAAGAGTCATCTTTGAAACAGAATGACCCTGGACGTGTTGAACCAAGAAGTAAAGTTAACTTTTACCTACACGGAATCTTAAGTAGTTAAAAAACTAAATGTTAATTAACTTAGATGAGTAATAGATTTGGGGAGTAGGGTGTTTCAAAGAAACCAATAAGTAAAGTAGAAATTGCTTCTGTATTTACTGCATAGTCTTACTACTGTCTCGTGGTTTTGCCCTGGATGGCTTCGGAGTGAAATCCTCCTATGTCTGCTTCCCAAGTAACCAGTATTACAGGCATGTACCACCACATCCAGCCAATGGTTTAAAAAATTTTTGAGAAGAACTTTTTATTTTAGTCTTTCTAGGTGAATATAATTTGTAAGAGAATCTTAAGAAAAAAAATTTTTTTGGCAGTACTGGGATTTGAACTCAAGTCCTCAAGCTAGGCAGGTGTTCTACCACTTGACCCATTCCCCTAGCCCTTCTTGCTTTAGTTATTTTTTAGGTCAGGCCTTGCTTTTTTGCTTGAGGGTGGCCTCAGACTGCAGTTCTTCTACCTCCAGCCTCCGCGTAGCTGGGATGACAAGGCACGCGTCCCAACACTCAGTTTATTGGTTGAAGTAAGGACTAACTTTTTGCCCAGGCTGGCCTTGAACCCCAGTCCTCCCGATCTCTGCCTCCTGAGTAGCTGAGATTACAGGTGTGAGCCAGCGCCTCTGTTCTCAAGACATGTTTTATGTAATAAGCTGCTTTAAAAATCTTAACATGTTGCAGACAGCTTCCCGTTTCATGAAATGCTCTTACGCCCCTTTTTGTGTTACCCTTCTCCTTTACTCTGTCCTCCGGACTTAGGGAAAATTTTTATAAGCTAGAGAAACACTGAAAGAATTTTTTTCTGGCTTGCTAGGCAGGCGCTCTACCACTTGAGCCATACCTCTGGTCCCGTTTTTCCTGATTATTTTTGAGGTAGGGTCTTGTTTTCTGCCTGGCCAGACTGGACCGTGATCCTCCTATTTATTCTGGGACGACAGGCATTTGCAGCCGTGCCCAGCGTTTTCTGTTGAGACAGGGACTCAAGAACTTTTTGCCTGGGCTGGCCTGGAATGGAGATCTCCTAATCTCTGCCTCCCAAGTAGCTGGGATTATAGGCATGAGCAACCATGCCTGTCTCCAGAAAGAAATTTAAGAAATTCACTGTTGTAGAGCCTTTTGACCTTTAACATGAAGAGTAAGGAGACCATTCTGGCATATTCAGCAGAGTGTGGAGGAGACAGGCAAAACGCAGGCAGTATTGAGAAGGAGGCAAGATCCAAGGATCTTGAAGGGAGAGAAAAGGCCTTTGATGGCATGCATGCAGTTGAGAAAATGCAGTCCTTTTATGTTCCAGGGCTGAATTACTAGATTTTAGGTGGCCAGAGCCACTGTTAGGCCAAGGGTACTTTTGAGGTGGACAAAGCACCCTCCTTGGGGGCAAGAGATAGCCTGGCCCCAGGCACATGGTAGGAAGGGTGGCAGGCAGGCCAGTTCTGCTCTAGCTGTGCTCAGCTGGATGTGCTTGCACTAACTGCAGAGGTGGCCCTGTCTGAAACGGGTGTGGGTTTGTGCTCAGCATTCTGTCCACAGGCTACTTTCCCAGAACCCAGAGACCTGAATGGGAATGTGGGGAGTGTGGTCACTCCGGTGCCTATTGACCTCGTTCATCATTGGTTCATCATTGTTCTGGTTCCCTGGCTGGCTCCATGACCTCTGTGATTGACTACATTCCTGTTGGAAGCCAGTCCTGGGCAGGGAGAGCCTTGGGCTTTTTTTCTGTGGGGCTTCTCACTCAGAGCCCCATAGCTAGGTGGCCCATGTGAATTCAGGCCCCGTTCCTGCCCAGGAGGCCTGGCTCCAAAGAGCCCAGGGAAATACCAGGGGATACCAGTAGGAGCTGGGAGAGGGGGTGAGACAGTTACCTGGGTGCAGGTGAGCCTGGGATCTGGAAGAGGGTCTTCCTGGAAAATTGAAGCAGCTGTGGAGTCCTGAGTACCAGCAGGCTGGGATCCAGGCCCTAGTCAGGCTGAGCCCCTACCCTTTGCCTGCCATCCCCACAGGACATCAACAATGCCTGGGGCTGCCTGGAACAGGCGGAGAAGGGCTATGAGGAATGGCTGCTGAATGAGATCCGGAGGCTGGAGCGGCTGGACCACCTGGCAGAGAAGTTCCGGCAGAAGGCTTCCATCCATGAGGCCTGGACGGATGGTGAGGCCACCGAGCTCCCGCCTCCCCAGGGAGAACTTCAGGCTGCCCAGCCTTGCCATTCTCCCCCATCCCACCACCCAGCCACAACTGCTTTGTTCTCTTGGTTTTGTTTGTTTCATCTTTCTCTTAGTAGTTCTCCGGCGTCAGGCAGGTTTATTAGCCTTTGAGTTGCCTGAGTTTCCTCATCTGCGAAATGGGGGTAACATAACCAACCTTGTAGGTGTGTGTGAGAAAATTAAGTCAACCAGGCTATGTTGAGGAATGTCCTGGCTGGCATACTATGCTAGTCCTGCGTAAGTGCTAGCTTTTAGTTATTCATTTCTCTGTCACAGTTTCTTCCTCCCCATTCAGTTCAGATGGGAATAAATCCTGATTCTGGAGGTTGGTGGCATGGTAGAGTACCTGTCTAGCAAGCATGAGGCACTGAGTTCAAACCCCAGTACTGCCAAAAAAAAAAAAAAAAGAATAGAAAATAAAAAATCTTGATTCTGCCCGAGAAGCAGTACAGATCTGCACTGGTGACTTAACCTTGGCCTGTTTACAAATCTGCAGAATGCAGTTGGTAATGGCCTCCTTGAATTAGTTTCCTGCAGTTGCTATAACAAATGACCGCACACTTGGTGGCTTAAAATAACAGAAATTTGGGGACAAAGGAGTGGCTCAAGTTGTAGAGTGCCTGCCTAGCAAGTGTGAAGCCCTGAGTGAAAAACCCCAGTACCACTAAATAAAGAACGAAATAGATAGATAAATAAATACATAATTAAGACAGAAAAACACCCAGAAATTTATCCTCATAGCTCAGGAGGCCAGATGCCCTAGAATGAGTGTCAGCAGAGTTGCTTTCTTCTGGAGGCTGAGGGGAAGATACCCCATGCTTCTGTGGAGCCGGCTAGTCCATGGCACCCCTTGACTTGAGCCACACTCATTACTTCAGTCTCTGTCTCCCTCATGCAGCACCTTTCTCTCTCAGACCAAATCTCTCCTCTTTCTACTAAAGATCACTCCTTGGATTTAAGTCACCCCCTAATCCAGTTTAATTGATTGTACTTGAAAAGACCCTATTTCCAAATAAGGTCACATTCTGAGGTTCTGGGTTGACATGAGTTTTGGAGTAGACAAACCAATACATCCTCCTCACAGGGTTGTTGAGAGGCTTACATAGCAGAACATTTTCTGCAGCGTTCAGTTCCTGTCAGGTGGAATGTACTCAGCGCAGGGCGATTCTTGATCTTTTCTCTGCTTCCTTCCTTCTTTCTATTTCCTGGCCACCAGGTACAGGGAACCAGGGCCTTTGCCTCAGAGCATGGGTCTCCCCTTACTCTGCCCTTCAGGCACTTGGGCCATGTCTATTGTTTGCTTATTGGTGGCTAAGGTTAATGCTGAAGAAAGGCAGTTATACTTGGGCTGGTCTTTCTCTTAGAATCAAGGGTGGTTGAGTTCAATAAGCCAAAAAAAAAAAAAACCCCAAAGCCAAACCACCCAGGGTGGGAAGTGGGGAAATGGCTGGCCATTCTCCCTACTGAATACATCATCCAGAGTCATTGGGCCAGATCCTCTAAACCCAGACTCCCCGTTCAGCCTTGTTTCATACTCTTCTGACCTTAGGCTGGAGATGAACAGGAAGGACCTGTGGCCATTTGGGAGTGGCCTGGCTCGGTGTAGGGGACTTGACCTGCCTAAGGGGATGGGTGTAGTGCCCTGTGTAAGTGCACAAGCATATGTGGAGCGGAGGAGGGACATGGTGGAGATGGCTCTTGATCACTCTCTTGCTGCTATGGGTCTTCTCCTGGGCCAGGGAAGGTCACAGCCACAGTACTCAGCAAAGGCTGATGACATGAGAAGTGCTGACAGCTGACACAGCCTCTGGGGATAGCAGTTTGACCATCTGTACTCACACTTTACTGATTTGATTAACTGCACTTGAACCTGGCAATTCCATTCCTTGAGACTGTTTAAGGAATTAACCTTAAACATGAAGAAATCACATGCCAAGAGATGTTCATGGTGAGACATCTCCCATGGTACAGCTGAGGCCTGAGTGCCCCACAGCAGGGCAATGTGTGGTTCTGTGTGGGAGGTGCAGCCAGAAGAGTGTCCAGTCTGCTTTCCACATCCATGGGTTCTGCATCTCTGGATTCAACTAAGTGCAGATCAAGATAATAAAAACAAGGGGGAGTTGCGACTGTACTGAATGTGTACAGACTACTTTCATTATTCCCTAAATGATGCATTCTAACAACCAGTTATATAGTGTTTGCATTGTATTAAGTATTAGGCGTAATCTAGGGATGGTTGAGAGTATGGGAGGATATGTGTGGCTATATGCAAATATTGCACCATTTTTATCTAAGGGATTTGAGCATCTTCAGATTTTGGTATCCTTTGGGGTCCTGAAATAAAGCCCCTGTAGATACCCGAGGGGTCAGGGTGACCCTCATGGGAAGACCATGGAGCCAAAATAAAAATTTTAGGGATGTACTGCTAAATATTTTAAAAGCAGGAAACATAATTTATATGTGCTCAATGGACTAGTTTAATGCCCATATAAGGAAAGCTGAATGGGAATAAACAAGTAGGCTTATTGTAATTTTTAAATCTATAGTGTGTTGTATTATTTTGATTTAAAGAAAAACAGTATGAAGAAAGGAAGAAATGCCTCGCAAGCCAGCCTTCATTTACTGATGGGCTGGGCATCCCCATGGTGGTGTAGCCAAGAGAGTGGACATATGAATAAGGCTGAGCCAGCCCCTCTCCTATGCCCGCCTGTCACAGTGCAACTGAGGAGCATCGTCCACAGCAGCTGTGGAGGTTGTTGTCATCCTTGCTTTACAGAGCCAAGAAATTCAAGTGCTGCTCCTGCCCCTAAGAGAGAGGGCAGTGTACCAAGTGGTCAGAGAAGGTTCCAGAGTGTTTGGATGCCATGACTGCTCTGAGAGTAGCTGGGAGAGGGATCCCTGCAGGGCTGTCACAAGCCAGTCAGAATACAGAAATTCTAAAGATGGGTCTTTCTGAAGTGCTTGGCTTGTTTTTTTCCTGGTTATACACAGGCATAGGTCACTGTGTCCTATTGCAAAGCGAAAGTTGTGCACTGTCCATCCACACACTCCTGCACAGTCTTCACATGTAACCACGTTAAATGCCCTAGAAATGCTCCAGTGAGCAGTGATTTCCCTGGTCCTTCCCCTTGGTTGCATGTTCCCGCTACATATCTGCTTTCTCACACTGGGGATTTGGGTATGGTGAATGCCTCTGTGGGAAGCACCCCCAGAAGTGGAGTTCCTGAAGTTTTGAGTGGTGGCGGCCAGGACCAAGGCTCCTTCTCAGCCGTGCTCCCTCTCTCTGAACCCAGGCAAAGAAGCCATGCTGCGGCAGAAGGATTACGAGACAGCCACCCTGTCGGAGATCAAGGCCCTGCTCAAGAAGCACGAGGCCTTCGAGAGTGACTTGGCTGCCCACCAGGACCGTGTGGAACAGATTGCAGCCATTGCGCAGGAGCTCAAGTAGGCCCGCCCCGGTCCCCTACCCTCTGGTGCCCCCAGGCAGGGCTGGGGTTGGCTTTCTCAGCTGTGTGAGGTGGGGGTGGGAAGTAAGGAGGTACACAGGTGGTGCCCAAGTTAGTTGATACAGAAGGAAAGAATACCCCTTCTGGTGCGGAAGTTGCCAGGACCACTCCATTTCAGTTACGGGTCTTTGGTCGTTACCTGTCACCAGTGCAGGTCTTAGGGATGCCCAAGCTTTCTTTCTGGTTGCTGAGCGTCCTCCTGAGCCCCAGCTGCTCCCTGCCATTGGGCATCAAGGTCAAGGCTGGCGCAGAAATCATCAGAGAGGGCTGGCCATCTTTGGTTTTCTGTCTCCGGTCTCCTGAAAGCCAAGGAGGTGGGGCTGGAAGGCAGGCAGAAGGGAGCATCTCTGCCTCTCCCACCACCACTAGTGCCCCCCAGTCCTAGGGAGAGGGAGAGCAGGTCCGAATTAATCTGTGTCATGCCTCACCTGACTCCTCGTTTCTCCTCCCCAACCTCCAGCGAGTTGGACTATTACGACTCACCCAGTGTCAACGCTCGTTGCCAAAAGATCTGTGACCAATGGGACAATCTAGGGGCCCTGACTCAGAAGCGGAGGGAAGCTCTAGAGGTAAGGGACCTGGAGGGAGAACAAGGCCAACAGTGCTGTGTGCGCCCTTTCTCCTTCTTGGTGCTCTTTGCTTTAAAGTCTCCATGGTTCCCTGGACCATTTCCACCCCCAGCCTAACTGTAGGTCTTGCTTTGGCATAGGATTTAGACCTTGACCTGCTGGAGATGCTCCTGTCTTGCCTAATTTTATCTCCTCCTCCTGTTGAGTATGCTTAACCCCAGCCATTCAATAACTTTCCTGTTTTGCAAATCAGACTTTCTGGGGGCCAATGTAGCGTAATCCATTACCTGGTTCAGTCCAGTACTTCTAGACTGGGACCCCCTTTGGGCTTGCCAGGGAGATCTTGATGTAGGTGGGGGTGACTCTGAATATTGCTGTTAAATACCCCACCCTGCTTGGCGCCTCCAGCGGACAGAGAAACTGCTGGAAACCATTGACCAGCTGTACTTGGAGTACGCCAAGCGGGCTGCGCCCTTCAACAACTGGATGGAGGGAGCCATGGAAGACCTGCAGGACACCTTCATCGTACACACCATCGAGGAGATCCAGGTGTGCTATGTCCCCTTCCTGAGAGGCCATTCTACCAGCTGTTCCCAGCCCTGCTCTATGGATTGCATTCCTGCAGGATGGGTAGACTGAGGAACAGCATCCAAGGGTTTCATAGTTTTGAAATCTTTGCATTTGATCTAGTTTGACCAGTTGATACATACACATGGTATAGCATCCAAAAGATAAGGGATGTGTGACAAGTTCTCCCTCCTGCCCCTTGTCCCCCAGCCTCCAGCTCCTCTGCACAGATGTAAGCAATATGTTCACAGTCTACAAGCAAATATATTTATTTACATGTCCTCCGCACCGTTTGTTGCTGTTTTACACAAAAAGTAGCTTTTATTATACGTATATCCTTGACTTTTAATTTAACATTTATCTTGGAGCTCATTTCAACTTAATTAACATCTGCCTCAATCTTTTATATAACTGCAGAGTATTAGATTCAGAAGGCTTTGCGGAGAGCTAAGGTAGCCAGTATTGGGAGAGCAAAATTTGTGGAAGGGTCCCCTTGTCCCCTCGTGGGGGGGTGAACATCCCAGGGTGATAGCTGGCAACCTGGTGAGCAACAAGGATGCAGCCATTGCCTTGCCTTCACCTTCCTGTAGCCATCCTGCCTTCCCAGTTTTCAGCCATGAGAATCTGATTTGATGCCTCTGCGTCTCCCACTGATGTGGGACAGTTAGGGCTCCCTTTCCTCATCTTCCCCAAGGGAAATATCAGCCCCTCTGAGTGTCTGTACTTATTCTGAATCCCCATGACTTTCCAGGGACTAACCACAGCCCATGAGCAGTTCAAGGCCACCCTCCCTGATGCTGACAAGGAGCGCCTGGCCATCCTGGGCATCCACAACGAGGTGTCCAAGATTGTCCAGACCTACCACGTCAACATGGCTGGCACCAACCCCTACACAACCATCACACCTCAGGAGATCAATGGCAAATGGGACCACGTGAGTATAGAGGCTGGGCTGAAGGGTTGACTGAACCATTGGACATTTCATAAGGGCAAGGATTGTTGTCTTTTTCATTGATTTTCATCTTTTATTTTATTGTCACATAGTAAGCTTATCCAAATAATGAGTGAGTTTCTAGAACAGGTCAGCATCTTTACTCCTGTTCTGGTTCTGATCCATCCCTCCCCCACCATGGGTCCTCCATTTTCTATCTGGCATATGGGGCAAATGGTTGGCCCATCCCCAAAGACCCATGGTTGTTCCTCCCCCAGGTACGACAGCTGGTGCCACGGAGGGACCAGGCTCTGACAGAGGAACATGCTCGCCAACAGCACAACGAGAGGCTACGCAAGCAGTTTGGGGCCCAAGCCAATGTCATCGGGCCCTGGATCCAGACCAAGATGGAGGTGGGTCCCATTGTGGGAAGTAATTTGGGGTTTCCCATTCCTTCTCAGCACCATTCCTGTCAAGCAGGCCACCTGATAGCTTGATCCTGATGTCTGATTGGTAGCAAAGACTGACAGAGGGACCCTACTAAGGAGCTACCTACAAAAGTCCCACAGGGAGGACCTGAATGCCCTGGTCATCTTAGTTCCTTTGGCTTGCCTCGTTAACCAGGCATCCCCTTTCTCCATTACTGCTCCACTGGCAGTGGGCCCAGTCAAAGAGGGTGATCTTCCCAGAAAGAGGGTTGAGCCTTCCCTGGTCCAGGGTAAAATTTTTTGTTAAGTTGTGTGGAGTAAATAGAGCATTAGAGAAGGAACACAGTTAGACTGAGCAACTTAAGGGCTGAGATCATATCAAGTTCATGGTGGTGTGTACATCCCTCCCCTGCTTAGTAAATGCTCAGGGAACATTGGCAGAACCGAATTGAATGTACAGAAAGTGCTTTCACAAACAAGCTCTGCTTACCTGGTGAATGACAGGCAGAAATGGATGTTAGGCCTGGCACCTGGGGAGGGGTGTGGCCTGGAGGGCCAGGGCAGGCATCCTAGGAGTCAGAAAAGCAGGACAAGAACATAGCTGCTGAGGAGGTAAGCCAAGCATGCTGAAACTGCAGCAATCCTGACTCAGTGGGAACAGGGAGGGTCCCTGAGTGGGGCAGTGGTTGGGAGCAAGGCTTAGGGAGGGGTTTGAATAACAAGCGGAGGAGTGAACATTTAGATTGACAACTGATCCAGCATCTCCCTCCTGAGACCAACAAATACCCTAAGAGACAACCACAAATACCCTAAGAGACATTTCATCCAACATCAGTACTGCTTGTATATCCTTAGGATGCTATTCCCATACCAGGGAGAACCTATGCCAAATGTGTCTTCCTGATTTCCAGTGCTGGCCTTTCTGGGCTGGATTGGGTACTGAGAATTATCTGGGGGGGTTAACCAGTGACCTTGGGGACTCAGTGCCATGGGTACAGAGTGGGATGATCTGACAAGGATCATCCTTCTGGATGAGCAGGAGATTGGCAGGATCTCCATTGAGATGCACGGGACCCTGGAGGACCAGCTCAACCACCTGAGGCAGTATGAGAAGAGCATCGTCAACTATAAGCCAAAGATTGACCAGCTGGAGGGTGACCACCAGCTCATCCAGGAGGCGCTCATTTTTGACAACAAGCACACCAACTACACCATGGAGGTAGTGGGGCTGGCCCTGCTTCTCTGGGAGGAAGCCCTGTGTCTCCTGCCCTCTGCCTGGGCTAGGGTGGGGGTGGTTACCCAGCTTCCAAAGACTCTGGTCATCATAGGAGGATGAATGCTCATTTCTCCACACCCCTGAAACTCTGCATTTGCAACCTGCAGTGCTTTCTGTGTACCCCTGGAACTCGAGTGCACCTATCCAGGCCCCAGCTGCAGAATCCAATTGACTAGTTCTGGGGGCAACTCAGGGTTATAATTTTTTTGGGGGTCGGGGGGAACTGTGGTTTGAACTTAGGGCTCTTACCACCTGAGCCACACCTCCAGTCCATTTTGGTCTGGTTATTTTGGAGACTCATAAACTATTTGCCCGTGCTGGCCTCAAACCTTGGTCCTTCCTATCTCAACCTCCCAAGTAGCTAGGATTACAGGCCTGAGCCACTGGTGTCCAGCTGAAGAGATCAGTTTTTAACAAGCCACCCCAGCAATTCGGATGCCTGTGGGCTCCAAGATTCACTGGCATGGGTACCTGCCTTCCAAATGACTGCAGTCTCACATTTCCTGGTGATGGGAGATTGCCTCATTGTGTGGACACCACAGTGTATGCTTACAGAAACTAAGGTGGCTACAGTGTCACTAGGTGGTCATTGGGACCACTGTGGTGTATTTGGTCTGCTGTTGATCAGAAGGCCGTTGTGTGGCACTCACTGTACTTGTTTTGACCGTGAAGGTGTGTGTACATGTATACATGTTCATATGTGATTGTGAGATAGGATGTCCAGGGAATCACCCAAGTTTTTTCCTTTAATCTTTCCCACTATCAGGCCTGCCTTTCTTTCCTAACAGACCCCTCCCGTTTGGCAAGTCTCGGTCTTGTTTCTGGCCCAGACACGGGCTGGCATGCTTCATCCTCGAGGTCCCTCTGTCTCTCGCTAAGGTGTCCTTGTCCTCATTTTCCTCCCTCTGGTCATACTGTGACTCCAGATAGAAGGCTGAGTTTGATTGCTTTGGCTGTTTGTGACAGTCACGAGGAGGAACGGGCAGGGGCAGCTTGGAGCTCAGACAGGGGACCCTTTGCTGATAGGCCCCTCATCTCACCCCCACCCCAGCACATCCGTGTGGGCTGGGAGCAGCTGCTCACCACCATCGCCAGGACCATCAATGAAGTGGAGAACCAGATACTGACCCGGGATGCTAAGGGTATCAGCCAGGAGCAGATGAATGAGTTTCGGGCTTCTTTCAACCACTTTGACCGGGTGAGAGCCCCATTCCTCCTTGCTTAGAGCAGCCCCTGCCCCAGCCCTTGACCCAAGGCTCTGGAGGGCACTGCCTGGGTGTGGGCCACCCTGCTGGGCCTGGTTCTTGGGCTGGGGAGGAGGAGGGAGAGGGAGGAAGTGCTGTCAGCCTGTGTGCCTCAGAGTTGGGCTTTTCAAGCCATCCTTGGAAAGCCATGCTGGTGTCCCATAAGCTTCCCTGGAGATAGTGCTGTTGTCACAGGTGGGGAGAGGACCTTTGACACCCTTCCTCTCTTACCATGAGGAATACACCCTTGGGAGTGGGGCTGCCAGAGTCTCAAGTGAAGGCCTATTGCCCCTGGCTGTTCCCTTTGTCCCTTACCTCTGCCCTGGGACAGAGAAGAGAGAAGAGATTTCTTTCTGCCTCACCCAGGCTGCCTTTGGGACTTTCTGTTGGGGATGGCAGAGTCCTCTGTCCTGGGTTCTCATCTCAACTCTGGGATAGGCTGGGTTTCCATGGGGTGCCCCTTCCTAGTGCCCTGGAGTTTGGGAACAGCCTCGGGGTGGGGAGTTTGGGGGTCAGGTGCTGCCCACCATCCTGTCTGCTTCACTGCCCTCCAGGCCCCTGGGTGGGCAGAGCCCTCAGGGACAACAGGGTGGCCTGGGGCACTTCTGGGGGAGCTTCTCACCCTTGTGGCTCATCACGCACCCCTCTGGCCCTGCTTCCTGGAGCAGGGCTGTGTATGCCAGGGACAGGGCCCCCTCTGGAAGCTCATCCGTGTGTCTAACTGTGTGCACTTTTATTTCCCCTCTCCCCTGCCCCCCACCCTCCACCCTTCATCCGCATGCCTTTGTCCCTGTGTCTCCCCACACACGCCACCCTCCACCTGGGGCATGGCCCACCCCTGCCCCTCACGGCCTCCACCTCCCTGGCACCGCATGGCTCGCTGCCTGGCGCACCACGGCCCTAGGATCACTCCGGCACGCTGGTCCTGAGGAGTTCAAAGCCTGCCTCATCAGCTTGGGTTATGATATTGGCAACGACCCCCAGGTACTCGCCTCCTGCATGGAGCACGCTCAGAGGTGGCCTCTGGGGCGAGAGATAACACATTTCTCCTTTTTCTCTTCTCTCCCTGTCTGGATCTCCCTGTCCTCCTTCCTGTGGGCCATGGGGCTCGTCCTCTCCTGCTGTCCTGCCTGCCCCATGTTGGGCTCCTCCTTCTACTACTCCAACCTCTGACCTCTGCCCTTTCATGGTAACCTGTGGGGTGCCGGCCTTCCTCTCTCCTCGCTGCTCTTCATCCTGTGGATGGACTTACATCTCCTTGTTCTGTCTTCCTTTCTCATGTGGATATTTTCCCTGGACATGTTCCTTCTACATTCCCCTGTCCACTGACTCCAAACCTCACCCTCCCCTCCATCTGTGCCTTGTCTTCCTGGCCCTGTGCTGGCCCTTCCTCCTCCTGGCTGTCTGTCCCTCCTGTGTCTCGTGCCACTGGCCCACAGAAGAAGACAGGCATGATGGACACAGATGATTTCCGCGCCTGCCTTATCTCCATGGGTTACAACATGGTAACGTAAACCTCACCCTCTGTCTGCCATGCCTTGGTCTGCGCTGGCCAGGACACAGCTAGCTGATTGGAAGGCCAGATCTTAGCAACATTAGGCCTGAGGACCTCTAGCTAGGGCTGCCCTCCCCGGAGGAGCCTCAAGTCCCTACCCTTGGGGAAATTGTCATCTGAAAGCCAGGCCCAGTCACAAGGCCTGTGTGTGGCCAGGATGTCTCTGTGCCCACTTACTTTCTGGTATTTAATATGGATACAGGGCTCTTTCACTCCCGTCGTGAACACCTTTGCTGACCCTGAGGCAGGCAGGAAGGATTGGTGGACATTTCTGGTTTGGCTTTGCCTCATTTTACATGAGGCACAAAGGCTCAGTTGTCCCAAGCCCCTCTAATCTTCTCGGCATCCCCTCTCTTGTCTAGCTATCTGATAAGGAAGGTTACGTACAGGCAGGTAACTCCAGACCATGGAACCAAGTGCAGAGTTCATGGGCTGCCCAGCATGAGCAAGGACTGTGCTAAACAGTGAACCTGAGGGTAAATCCCATCTCTGCTGTGATCACCAACTTGTGCCCTCAGATGGAGTGAGGGGAGCCCTGCAGGATTAAATGAAGGAACTTAACATAAGTGTTGTGCACGTGTCTAACACTTAGAAAACACAGAGTGGTAGGGAGAGAACAAATTCTGGAGCTAGACTAAGTTCAAATCCTAGCTCCCTGCTTATTGGCTGTGTGATCTTGAGCAAATTACTTGGCCTGATTTCTCCTCCATACAATGGAAATAATAAGATTTTAGATAGCTGCGGTAAAAGTTAAATGAATTAAAATATATACAGCATTTGGAAGAGTGTGGTGTATAGTAGTATAAGCTGTGTCAGTGTTAGCCTTTGTTGAAACTACTGTCACTGTAATTAATGCTAGCATTATTTTTTCTAAGGGGAACCCAAGCACCTGTAGGGGGTGGGAAGCCCTGAGCTGGGTTTCCAACTGTTGAGTCCCTGTCATACACTTAAGGCAACCCAGGTTAGTCAGAGGGCTGTTGTATGCTTCTCTTCCAACCATAAGCTACCCCAACGCTTGAGGTCTGTGTGAGATGTTCTCAGCAGGCTAGAGACTGACAGACCTTGGTTGGCTGTTCTTTCTAGGGAGAGGCAGAATTTGCTCGCATCATGAGTATTGTGGACCCCAACCGCCTGGGGGTAGTGACATTCCAGGCCTTCATTGACTTCATGTCCCGGGAGACGGCTGACACAGATACTGCAGATCAGGTCATGGCTTCCTTCAAGATCCTGGCGGGGGACAAGGTGAGTCTCCTATGGTGTGAGCACCCCACCTGGCAGTGAGGAAGTAGGAAGGGAACAGAAGGGCTTTCTCTGTAGGGCTAAAGGCCAGTCCAGGTCTTGGCCATCTGAGATGGTCATTGGTGGACATGGATGTCACTTGGACCCACAGCTACCTTTGGGCCAGAGACCTGAAGGAATCTGCAGGAGCCACAAATACCTTTAATATTACATAGAAGACTCAAAGAGCATTCAGAGGAAATTTGGGGAGAGGGTTCTGGGGGCCAGTTTTCCTTTCTGTAAAATTCATAGGGTTACCCTTATGCCATCTCTCCTTTAAAACTGGAAAGATTCAGTTACATAAAACAAAAACCAATAGGGAGCATAATTTCTGAAATGTCACCATCTACAAGGGAGTAAAGGCAGAACCTACAAAGGGCCCCTAAAGGTCTGATTAAGTTCAAGAACACTTTCATTGGAGTCACAGCACCTTGTATCCGGTAGGATCCTCAGAAATCATCTAGTGGACCAAGTGACTAGTTTTGTAGAAAGAGGCCTGGCCTTCTGACATTTGGAGTGACCAGAAGGCAGCCCCACTGGCTCACACTGGTTTCCAGGGAACTTTCAGGGATAGGGCATGAGGATCTCCTCATGGGTCAGAGCTCCTGAGTGAGTTCTGGACACTCCAGCTTCCCTAGCATCTTCCAAGTAGAACTACCATGGGCAAGTGGAAGGGGAAGGCAGAGTTCCAAGCTGGGTGCTGGCTGAGGTAGGGCAAGACCCACACTTCTACAGATTGGTTAAGGTAGCTGCTCAGATTTTGGATGCCACTTACAGCAGTGACGCCCAAACTCATGTTAATCTGCTAGAGACTCTCTTAAATTAGTCACTGGTGCAGGTCTCCAGAGAGTCCAACTGAGTGGGTGTGGGGCCCCTAGGAATCTTTATGTTCCATCAGAGTGCCTGTTGTTCGTGCACCGGCACGTGCTTACTGCAGGCTAGTGCGATGCAAAGGGGATAGTTGGAATTGGCGCATAGAAATACTTCGCAGACGCTCAAATAGGTATTGAAGTGGAAAGCATAAGTGAGCTTAAAAATACGTGTGTGTGTCTACAAATGTGCACATACCTGTGGATGTATGTGCGTGAGTAAATGCATTCATCCAAAAGAACTAGGAAGGAACGAAAATGGGGACCTAACGAGAACAAGTTTACGACTGCAGAGGTTTGCGGCGCTGTGCCGCTTTACGGCCGGTGGGCTTTGCGGCTCCTGACCCTGCTTTCTCCGCAGAACTACATCACGGTGGACGAGCTGCGCCGGGAGCTGCCGCCGGACCAGGCCGAGTACTGCATCGCGCGAATGGCCCCCTATGCCGGCCCCGACGCCGTTCCCGGTGCTCTGGACTATATGTCCTTCTCCACGGCGCTGTATGGCGAGAGTGACCTCTAACCCGCCCTCAGCCCCTCTGCGCGTGCGCCCCGCCCTGCACCTCCGCTGTCCCATCCCCTGCCCGGGTTTGGTGTCTGCTCGCAGCCTCCAGGGCGCGAGCTGGGACTCACACCCGATGCCAAGGAAGCATCGGGTCTCCTTGCCCGCGAAGTGACAGTTTACAAAATTATTTTCTGCAAAAAAGAAAAAAAATTTACGTTAAAAAGTAAAAAACAAAAAAACCGACATATTTTATTATAGATAAAGTATTTTTTTCTCCACCAGACTTAAATGGAAAAGAGGAAAAATTATTTGCACCGAAATGTTTTGTTTTGTTGTGACATAGGAAAATAACCAAGCACAAAGTTGTATTCCATTCTTTTTACTGATTTTTTTTTTTCTTCTATCTGTTCCATCTGCTGTATTCATTTTCCAATCTTCATGTCCACTTGGTGGGGGTGGGGGATGGGTACTCTTGTCGAAAGGCACATTGGTGCATGTGTGTTTGCTAGCTCACTTGTCCATGAAAATATTTTATGATATTAAAGAAAATCTTTTGAAATGGCTGTTTTTTAAGGAAGATAATTTATGTGGCTTCTCATTTTTACGTTTCCTCAGAGGTGTGGCTAGCCTCCTTATCAGTGCATACTTTAATTTTTTAGAAAAATACTGCCTATTAAAATAGGGCAAACTTGGAGATGATGGACAGCTTTGATGTTGCTTGGCACAGACCGTATTAAAACAGCTCTCCCCTCACAGCTCTTTTGCTTGCTCCTTGTTTGGTGTTTTCTAGAAGTGGGTGTGGGGTCAAGAATGGTGTGGGGTACTTGTACCCACCTCTAATATGTTTTGACTGTGGTGTGTTCAGTTTTAACACTTGTTTCTTCATTTAGAAAAGGAAAGGTCCTTTCTTCCCAGGAAGGAGTTGAAAATAAGGTCGTGAATGTGGAAGGAACTCCCAGAATATAAGCCCCACCTTCATTCTCAGTATCATTAAATGGTTGGCTGTGACTTCTGTATGTCCCCCAGTCCTTTCCTTTTCTCTGCAGTGAAAAGCCTGAGCTATGTCAGAGTTACCACACCTCTTCCTATTCAAAGTGTCCCACAGAGGGCTGGGGTGTAGCTCAGTGGTAGGGGATGTGATTAGCATGTGTACAGCTCTGAGTTCAATGCCCGGTTTTGGGGTGTGGGGGGAATCCCATAGACAGCAGCTATCCAGCATCACCTGGGAGCTTGTTGGAACTGCAGACTCTGGGGCCTCATCCCAGTCATAAGGAACCAACCTGCATTTTGAAAAGCTTTCCCAGGTAATTTGCTCTGGTTTCTCCCATTTTCATTCTTCCAGTCTCTTCCCTGAGGCTTTTGTACAAAATGCAGAGCAATGAAGACAGTCATTTTTAACAGGATGGTAAAAAATACATAATTTAGCAACTGAGCTCATGTGACTATGTTTGGGAGATGGGTCTGGATTCAAGGAAGAGTTCAAATCCATGACCGCCCCTTTTAAAAATGAGTAAATGATGTTCTACAGTTCCCTTATTTATTAAGCGGGGATAGTAAAATTATTGTGTCACATTGAGGTCAAATAGCATTAGTACATATATATGTGTGTTATCCATGAACAAGCTTAATTTTAATCTTAATTTTAATTTCAAGTGAAGCATTCAGTTGGGGGAATCTCAAAAATAGGAGAACCCTTAACATGATATATAGCTGCTCCATTAAAGGGGATAAGAACGAGTCAGAACTCTGGGTTGGGATCCAAGGTGACAGTTTTCATTGTGAGACCCTCTTACTTAGGGATTAATTCAGTGAGTTTCTGGAATTTATGCAGTCCTGGGAAAGAAGGTCTAGAAGAAAGGATATAGAGTGAAGAGTCTGTGTTTGCTTCGGGAAACAGTATCTTACAGATGTTACCAATGGTAGGAAGCTCAATGTGGGAGTGCTGAGGCTGAATCTCCACAGAGAAAACCATGGAACAAGGTGGGCACTGGTTTCTAGAGAGTCAAAGTCTTTTCAGAGAGGCAGAGGCAGAGACAATTTTCTTAGCAATTTACATGCAAATCTAATCAAAGGAAAAATGGTATGGGAGTTTAGGAGAGGAAGAAATTGTTCCAACAAGAAAGTTTCTAGAACCAGGGCACAAGTATTTAATGCCTCAATTTCCAAAGAGCTGGCCAGTCTTATCAGAGCTCATTTTTGGACTTTTTTTTTTTTTTTGGCAGTACTGGGGTTTGATCTCGGGGCCTCACCACTTGAGCCACTTCACCAGCCCTTTTTTGTGTTGAATATTTTTGCGATTCAGTTTTGAGAACTATTTGCCCAGGCTGGGCTTGAACTTCAATTCTCCTGATCGCTGCCTCCCAAACAGCTAGGATTACAGGCATAAACCATCAGCACCTGCTCAATGTTCATTTTTTAAAGATGTAAGTCCTGTGAACAAATGTATGTCCACCAAGTTATTGATGTTACTGAGTCCATAAATCAATTTTTAATTTAAGGGGTGTAAAATTTTTTAAACCTAGATTTTTTTTTTTCAGTATTGGAGGTAGAACCCAGGGCCTTGTGCATGCTAGGCAAGTACTCTACCACTGATCTGCACCCCAAGCCCTTAAAATCTAGATTCTTAGCTGGATGCAGGTGGCTCACTCATGTAATACTTCCTATTTGGGAGGTTGAGCTCAGGAGGAAAGCAGTTTGAGGCCAGCCCAGGCAAAAAGTTCACGAGACCTCCATCTTGACCAACAGCTGGGTACAGTGGGGTGCACCTGTCATCTTAAGCTGCATGGGAGGCTGAGATCAGGAGGATTGTGGTTTTAGGCCAACTGGGGCAAAAAAAAAATTGTGAGACCTCATCTCAATGGGAAAAAAAGCTGGGTGTGGTGGCATGTGCTGTCATTCCTGCTACAGCAGGGAGTGTAAAGGTTTGTGATCCAGGCTGGCCTGAGCAAATAGTGAGACCTTGTCTCCAAAATAACCAGAGCAAAAAAAGGCTGGAGGTGTGGATCAAGTGGTAGAGCACTGAGTGCAAGGCCCTGAGTTCAAAAGAAAAAAAAAAATTTTTTAAGCTCACCATACACATTTTGTTACATCAATACAATTTTTTATGTAAAATAAAAACATTTATCCTTTAGTCACTTATACACATGTTAACAGATAGCAGATTGTTCCCCCAAAACAGTTAACCTCATTTGCAAATTTCATACAATTCCTTTAAACATTTTAAGCTATATTTGCAAGTTTTAATAATTCTGCCCAGAACATTGAACTCCCAACTCAGGCATAGTCACATCTAAGCAGTGGCATCTTGTTTAGCACAAAGTGATTACAAATGTTATAAATGTGGTAAATCAAGTCCCCTAATGCTGTTAATGACATTTCCCTTACATCTTCAATATTAAAGTCACATGTCTAACTTCAGTGACACATTTCAGACTAAAACCACAAAGCTAATACAGGCCAGATTCCGTTACGTGTTCCAGCACTTTAATCCTGAGATTGTCATCATGGGCACAAAACTGCTGAATACCACTGAAATATTAGCACCATGGTTCATTTACTTCATCTGTTTACTTATTTTTTAATAGTTTTTAAATCCCTTACTACTTGTCGCTGGATTTGGAGGTCAGAGGTTAAGAACTGTGATTATGGATCACCTGAAGACTGTGATCTGTGACACAGGATGAGGCGCTTACTCCCAGGGCAATGCACCCAAGTTCACTCAAGGTGAACACAGTGTCATTCATAGACACTGTCAGTTCTGGCACCAGGCGTCCTGAATCCATGCCTTTCATCTGACCAGCATCACTTGCCCTCTGGGCATTCTTTGTATTTCACCTTTGCCCACCTGTCTCCCAGTTTACTCTGAATGAATGGGTAGATGGAATGTCCCATCTGAACAGGCGACAGTTGATTTTTCCTGCATCAGTGGGACAAGCTTACTGCACCTCTTTCCTACCTGTGTGGATTGTGCAATTCTTTTGTATTTTGATCTTCCTCTAGGGACTTCGTTAATAAAAAGGCTCATCTATGAAAACAGCTTCTCTCTCTTTGGCCTGTCAGTCCTTTAGTAGAACATTAATGACTGTTCTGAGTAGCCAGCCTGACACGGAGGGTCATCACTGGACCAGGTCAGAGCTGTCCCTTGGCATGTGGTTAGTGTCTAAAGAATGCAGTCACTTGGCTAGTGAGTTACGGAGTATGTTAGTCAGCTTTCCATTACAGTGACAAAATACCTGAGACAATATATAAGGAGGAGAGATTTGTTCTGGCTCATGGTTTCAGGACTTTCAGTCCATAATCACGGGCCCTGCTGCCTTTGGGCCTGTGGCAAGGCAGCACATCATGACAACGAGTCTGTGGTGCAAGAGGTCTGTTTACCTCATGGTAGCTGAGCTATAAACAGGAAAGGGCCAGGGTCCCACTGACCCAACTTCCTTCCACTAGACCTCATGTTCTAAAGTTTCCATCACCTCCCAACAGTGCACCAAGCTGGCAGCTAACCCTTTAACACATGGTCTTTGGGAGACATTTCACATGCAAGCCATAAGAGCAGCACTGAGAATGGGTTAGATTTTCTGAGGTGGTGAGGAGCAATTCGAGGCTTGGTCAGTTCTTTGCCTGTGCCAGGCCTTCTGACTCATCCTCAGGTGGCATGAGTGGTGGGGGGTGCCCCTGAATCTAAAGCTCCAAAGCTCCCCGACACAGCCTTAGACTAGGATCTGCCTTATGGGCCCTAAGGGGCATCAGTGCCTGGCAGGGGAGATATGGGTCCAAGTCTGCCTGCCACTTGCCTGCTGGGTCACCTCAGGCAAATGACCTCAAAGAGGTATGCTACTTTTCCTTCTTCCCCAACACATGGCAAGCGTTTAATAAACAACAGTGAGTATTGTTACTATAGCTATTAAAAAATCAGCTGATTATGGAGAAACACCGTTAAGGGGATGGGATCCCTCGTTAGTCTTTGTGCCCTGTGGCATGCAAATAATTCCCCCTACCCGATGGCTGTGTCCGAATCCCTGGAGCCTATGATGTCACCTTACACAGCAAAGGGGACTTTGCAGAGGTGGTTAGGATCTTGAGGAAGGAGCTGATTTTGGATGATCCAGATGGCCCTTATAAGAGGGAACAGGAATGTCACTGTCAGAGATGACACAATGGAAGCAGAGGTTGGAATGAGACCAACTAGCCAATGAATGCAGGCAACCTCCAGAAGCCAAAAATGGCAAGGCAAGGGATTCTCCCCTCCTGCCCCCAGTAGCACACAGCCCTGAAGATCCATCTATGTATACACAATTGTGTTGTACATAGATGAATACAGAAAATGCATAATAAATTCTAAGTGAGAAAGTCCTGTGTTGCAGTTTAATTGGTCACACTTTTTCTTTCTTGGTACTCATAAAATACTGGAGCATCTAAAAATCAGATTGCATTTTAGATTCAATGAAATATAGCCTATGGAACGGATTGCCTGTGAACTCCCCCAAATCTTCTGGATTCTATACTTGATAGGAGAGGAAAAGAAAAAAATCCTCCTAAATTTGCTCTCTGTAATTCAGCCATCTAAAGAGCTCCAAAGGCAATATAAGATAGCCATCCTTATCACAAATTACTTTTAACATATACTTTCTAATTGCCCCCGTTTAGAATCTTCCATTTCCAATCATGTTCTCTTGCTTAGAAGTCCCCTTGAGGATTGGACTTTGAGCACATGATAAAAGCGAGAGCACACAGGAAGGGGTG